CATAAATATACTACTTTATTTATTCCCTATTGGTGCTACCTAAGTATTTTTTGTTAAGAATTTTAAAGCATTAATTGTATTATTTGTATTTAAATTTAATTTTTATTAAAGTTTCTTAATCTTGTAATATTTTTATAAATTTTATATATTCTTAATATATTAATTTTTATATTTTCAATCTATTTATAATACTTACTTAATTGTTGTTTTTATTTTATGAAAGACATATTGCAACGTTTTTTTTACATAAAAGTTTTTATAGAAAATATTTAATAATGTTAATATAAGTTAAATAATAATAAAAATAAAAATTGTAATTGATTCTACTTTAATTTTTACGAATTTATTAATTTTTACAGTTTATAAATTTAAAGAAATTTGCGGGAATGGATGATAAATGTCGGACCAATCACAAACCGGGGAGAAGGTGGCCAGACTCTTATTAGAGGGTCACTAAGTATATACAGTAGCGCAACTCTCTGTTGGCACCTTTGATGTTAGTGAAGCCTAAAATGGAGTGCGCATGCTCGAAATGGGTAAGTTGTCCAGTAACGCCATCTACACTTCTATCTCACTTGCTCTAGTCCCTCTTTCTCTCTGTTTCTTTCTAGCTGCCTAGGTTATTTGTATGAACAGCAAATTAAATGTACAAATACTAAAAGAAATAGAAATAAGTAATGAATAAAAGAAATAGATTTATAATTGTAATGCGTTGCAAAATAAAAAAAAATACAAAAATAAGAAAATATAAAATTATATAAATATTAAAATATTGTATAAATATTATACTGTAAAAATATTTTAATTAAAGATCGGCACATGATGCTTGTTTTCCTGCTAAATTGTTTGCATCTTTTGAAAATTATTAGAATTGTACCATACAGAATTAACGCAGATTTTCTAGCTAAAACTTAAGTAATTCAACAGAAAAGCACAAGCATTATTTTCCGTAGGTTTAAAATATTAATATAAACAATAAAATTTATTGTTATTTATATTATTACAGATTACGTAATAAGAAAACAGTACTATATCTTTTGACTATATAATTATTGTAATTATAAAAATATCTAATAATAATTTTATGAAATAAAATCTGTAATAATATAAATAACAGTAAATTTTATTGTTTATATTAATATTTTAAACCTGCGGAAAATGATGCTTGTGTTTTTCTGTTAAATTATACTTACGTTTTAGCTAGAAAATCTGCGTTAATTCTGTGTGGTACAATTCTAATAATTTTCAAAAAATGCAAACAATTTAGCAGGAAAACAAGCATCGTGTGCCGATCTTTAATTAAAATATTTTTACAGTATAA